TCCACAGGGGGTACTTCGAAATTCGAGGCTCGAGGGCTCTGGGTTCGAGGTCCTTTCTCGACGAAGGCTCGAGACTCGAGGCTCGAGACTCGGGGTTCTCGGGCGCTTTTGTCGATGTTCGGCGTCTTGTAACCAGCGTTAAATCGGGCCTGTCCCTCTACATGAGGAGTATCCAAAAGTATGTGGTAGCACTTCGCGATCTGTTTGTACTCGTCGCTCGGGACGCTGAGGCGTGGGCCTGGAAACAGGGCTGCCCCCCAAAGCACCCTGTCCTGCAGCACCTGGTCATGAGTCGCAAAGTTTTGGATCCGCTCCTTGAGCTGCTTTCAAAATATTTATGTCAGGAACTTGGCATCTCCCGCTTCAGTGTACTTTCTGTGGTCATGTAGCTGATAATCCAGCGTATGGAATGTCTCATATGCTTTGGGATTGCTGTGGTATTCTCCAGCACCAGCAGACTTTTGGCTTTCCTCCTGGCACGAGTTGGTATGGACACGAGTTGGACGACGAGGTCAAGTCCTGACTTCGCCTGTGTTCGGGGATGAGTCTGGCATCCATGGGCCGTCTTCCTGGACAAGTCGTTGCGGTTTCGCTGTTGCCGCCGTGGATGGTTTTGGAAAAGGCTCACACTATTTTACATGGGCCCTATCTTGGGCGGGTTCAGGCAGTTCCTGCGGCAGAAGGCCTCGCATTCTTTGCGTTCTTGCTACGCGCAGCGCCTGAAGGAGGGCAGGACCATTATAATGGCGACTGCGAGTGGTTCTTAGATACTTTCGCCCTACCTCGGTCAGCCTCCACCGGTGGTTGGGCTGTGCATTCTGATCTTTGGCCTCGGATTAGCAATGCTGCAGAGTATGTGGGATGTCGCAACGTATATCTTCATAAGGTTGTCTCCCACTTGTCTGAGCAAGACGAGCGGCAGCCGGTGTAGTGTACCAAGGCCAACAAGGTCGTCGACGAGTACGCCAAGACAGGCGCGGCCGTGCATCCTTGCGACGAGGTCTCTTTTGCTAGGTTGACCCGCTCACGAGAAGTTGTCACTCTCCTGGGCAAGTACACCGACTACGTGGCTTCTTCGGCATTGGCTATGTTACCTAAGGGCACGCAGAGACCAGTGAGTGATGCCCCTCTCCCTCCCGCGCCCTCTGTAGTTGGCCCTCCCCGAGATTTTCCACACCAGATAATTTGGGCTCGGCGCTTGAATCGCTACAGATGCCACGCGTGTTGGGTTTCCCGCACTACCAAGCTTGGCCTTGCCTCTGGGGGTTGCCCCGCCCCCTGATGGTTACGGCCATTCTGTAAGAATGACTGGGTCATGTGTATTTTGCCGCCTCTATGCGGCCTGCAGTTGTACTGGTGCGACGAATCTCCAACGGCTCTGTCGCCAAAGAAACACGGCCGATACCTCTAAAAGGCGGCTGGATCGTCTGATGGCGGGTTGTGGCCCACGCGCGAATGCTTCGATCGGAACGGTGACTATGCCTGTGGGGAATGCACGATTCAATGACGTCTGTGGAGCTCCCCAAGGGCATGTACCCTGGACTCCACATGCCGACCTTGCCCCTCGAAGCAGGGCCCTGTTTTTTCGTTTGGTGACAGCCCCAGCATGCCACAACAGAGCGTGGCCCCTTTTCAGGGGGTATTGGGTGCGGTCAGCATGCATCGGTCGGTCCCCCGACGTTCCGTTTCAGCTTCGTTGAATAACCATTCGGATTATGTGAGTTTTTATATGATTCGTATCCTGATTTATCTCTCACTGTTCAGGGTCTCTTCGCCCTGCTGTCACTTGAAGGGCAGTGTCTGAGAAGAAGGTACCACGCGCGGCGTGGCACTGTTGAGCGTGCTATGGCTTGAGCCACGAATTCAAGTGTGTGTGTGTGCTGCTTGAGCGTGGTGACGGCACTGTTGCACGGCAGCGCCTGCCTGCCCAGGTTTTGCTTGGGAGAGAGCGCGGCGCGCCACGGGCGCCTTCAAGCGCCAGCCCCGCGCGAGCGGCAGCTGCCTGTCGCCGCCGTCGGCGTCGCCGGGCGCGACGCTGTGGGTGTCCCGTCGGTCGTCTGCCGTGTCGTTGTCGCCGTCGCCGTCTCGCCCGCCGCCGTCGCAGTCGTCGCTGATGGCTGCCCGTTTTTCCTTGTTTCGACCTCGTGCTCCTACGTGGGCGCCCGTTCGCGAGGCCGACCTAGAACCTGCAATCCTCCTCTGCACCTCTCCCGCCGCTTGCTCTGCCTCGGTTCTCTGCGGCTGCGGCGTCCCCCGCCCTCAGGCCGGCCACCGCCGCCGCGAGGCCTTCTTTGGATCGTGCCAGGGAGAGCGAGTCCTGCCGGACGCAGGCGTTCGCGATGTGCCGTGCGACGGAGGCTTGCGCGGCGATGCTGACCTGCTGCCACAGGCCAGCGGCCAGCGCGGAGGCGCGCGATTCGCCGCCGGCCATGGTGGCCAACGCGCGGACGGTCGCTTGCGCGCTCTTGCCCGGGCGGCCTCCCAGCTCGAACATGCATTGGGAGATGTTGAGTCCCGCATAGCGTCGCCGCTTGGCCTTCTCCTCCGCCGCTACGGCTCCGTCCCGGCTGGCCGCTGCGCGGATTTGGGCCCAGTCAGCGCGGGCACCGACCACGGCGACGTCAATGGCCACGCTCCTGCCGTCGTAGTTGAAGACGACGTCCAACACGTCCCCGGCTTCGTCGTCCGCCGTCGCGTCCACCAGGGCTGGCGCCCTCAAGCTCTAGAGCCGGTACTCCTGGAGCGCGCTAGGGTCGATGTTGGCCTTGACGAAGCGCCCCAAGATGTCGCGGTTCTCGTTGTGGCCCCTGACAACCTGGCCGCCGATCTTGCACCCTTCTGCGTGCGCGAGTCCGTCAAGGCCATCCAGCTGCGCTCCGCAAGCACCCCGCGTTCCAGAGTGGTGGCAATGCGTCTCCACATGCGCTGGAAATGCTATCGTCTCGACCGTGCACAGCAGGCGCGTGCGCAGGGCCATGCGCCAGGTTGTGTGGGAAATGACCTGGTTGCCGGGCTGGGGTACGCACAAGAAGCTGCCTGCTCCAGCGCCTCCTGCTTGCCGCAGCCGTGCTCAGAAGGGTTCCAGGACGCCGTTGAGGATGGTCTCGTGCGCCCGGAGGACCACGGCGTCCATGATCATCCTTTGCATGCGCTTGTGGGGTTCGGCGGTGAAGTCCAGTTTCACGTCGCCGACCAGCGCGGGTACCCGAACCGTCAAGTCAGCTCTCGCCTTCTCCAGCTCCGCCGCGAGTCTGGGGAAAGCTGCGCGCAAGCTCTGCTCTGTGTTCACGAGGGCCCCGGCGCACTGTCGCCAGAGGTGTTGGCGCCATCCCGCGTGCAAAGCAGCAGACACCCGCGGCGTGGCCAACCCAAATGCGGCGCCGCCGTCGCGAAGCAGCAAGTTGCCAATCGCGATCTGCTCTGGGGTCAGGTCGACACTGATTAGCTCGGCCCACGCGTCCGCGACGGCGCCGTCGTATGCCGCGAGTACCTGTTCACTCCAGAGGCGCAAACGGAGCAAGTGCTGGGGGGGCCCGACCGTGACGTAGCGCAGAACCGCACTGGCGACCTGGCAGCAAAGCCCTGGCTGTCGGGCGTCCTTGAGAGTAGCAGCCGTGGCGCGCACCAGAGCCGACGCTTTCTGCATCTCCTGCCCGGAAGTGCCAAGCCTTGCCGCCAAGCGGTCTTCGCGGTCGTGGTGGTACAGCGTGCAGCCCAACACGGGGAGGTCGAGCACCACGGCGTGGTGCAGCGTGTCCGTGAGTGTCTGCGCAGCTTCGGGCGAGGCCAGCCAGACTTTCGTCTTCGCCGTGGCGCACCGCAGGCCCACCCGTGCGAACTCGGCCGCCGAGACGTCGTACGAGGCCGCGAGGTTGGCAGCAGGCCCCGCGATGTCGATGCCGTCCGCGTGTGCCACGCGACTCGCCCCAAGGCCTCGCCGGCTGCGGCCCCAGAGAGAGGGCTCGCCTGCGGGCACACACTGCCGCGGCTGTCTTGCCGGTCGCCGGCCATGTGGCGAGCCGCTGTCAGGATGTCTGCCTGGCTTTGCCGTGCGGCGCCTCCCGGCGCCGGGAGGCGCTGGGAGAATCAGCTGCGCGAGCTGATTCTCAAATCCCCCATTTGCTATCCCCCCTTTCGCCCTTCCCAAGCGTGGCTTTCGCACGATGCGTTCGTCCAGGCCTCCCAACGGGGGTCCGAGTGGTCGGAGGATCGCGCCGCATCGCCGATCTACCAGCGATGCGGCTCGATGTGGATCCCGACTCTCTCCACGTCGACGTCGCCGATGCATCGCCGACGTCGCCACTGCATCGGCGATGCATCTGCGATGCGGCGCGATCTTCCGACTCCATCTGCTCGGACCTCATTTGGGAGGCCTCTCGTTCAGGGGCTCCTGCAGTTCGTCCGTCGGTGGATTCGGCCCCAACGATCGGGTGTTGCTAGAAGTACCCCTGGCCCAAGGTACCCCCAGGATTCTCGGGGTGGCCCAAACGGCCTCCGGGGCACCCCTCACGAGGCCCAGAGGGCCTCCGGGGCTCCAAAACGGAACGAAAAGCTGGGGGCACCTCGGGCCAGGGGCACTTCTAGCAACACCCGAACCGACGACAAGGACCACCAACGCCGCGGCCAGACTCCGCCTGGCGCGGGCGCGGCTCCCCTCGCGTGTCCCCCCTCCTTCCTCGCTCGTCTGCCTCGTACTGGCCTCTCCTCCTCTCGCCTGCTGTCTGCTCCCTGGACGTGTGGGGGTGGGGGCGGGCGGCTTCGTGCGGCAGCAGCTCATGAGAGCCCTGCGTGCCCTCGGACCTCCGTCCTTGCAGTGCGCTCGCGTGCGTCAGCGCTCGGTAACCGATGAGGAAGCGCAGACCTAGTCTTCTGCAGCGTCGATCTGGCATCGGTCAGCGTCGACGAGCGTCGGTTCGCGTCGATCCGCAGGGGCCAGCCAGGTGGCACGGGAGGCTCCCAGGAGTTGCCACCGTGATGTCAGCAGTTTCCGAGCCCTGGAGGATTGGCTGGACAGGCATCACGGCCATTTTCGGCCCCGTGCCGCCGATCGCCATGCTGATGGGCTGGGCCTTCGGCCCAGCGGGCCAGGGGGATGGTGGAGGTGAGGCAGTGAGATGCGGAGGGTTGAACGGATAATGGAGGAGAAATATGAGGCGGGAGTCGGAGGAGGAGGAGGCGGGGGAGGAGGAGGAGGAGCAGGAGCAGGAGCAGGAGCAGGAGGAGGAGGAGGAGGAGGCGGAGGCGGAGGAGGAGGAGGAGGAGGACAAGGATGATGATGCTGATGATGCTGCTGCTGATGCTGCTGATGATGATGGTCATGAATCATGATGGTGATGATGCTGATGATGATGACGATGCTGTTATTGTCAATGATGATATTGATGATGATGATGATGATGATGATGATGATGATGATGATGATGATGATGATGATGATGCTGATGCTGATGCTGATGCTACTGCTCCTGATGCAGTTGTTGATGCTGATTGTGATGATGCTGATGCTGCTGATGATGATGGCAGTGCTGATGATAACGACGATGATGCTTATTATGCTGATGATAGGGGTAATGCTAATGCTGCTGATGATGCTTAAGACAAGAGGACAATGATGCTGATGAGGATGATCATTATGATGCTAATGATGATGATGATGATGATGATGATGATGATGATGATGATGATGATGATGATGATGATGATGATTATGATGATGACGATGCTGATGATGATGATGATACTGATGATGATGATGATGATGATGATGCTGATGATGGTGATGCTGCTGATAGCGATGATGGTGCTTCTGATGATGATGATGATGATGATGATGATGATGATGCTGATGCTGATGACGATGCTGACGATGCTGCCGCTGATGATGCTGATGGCGATGATGATACTGATGATGCTGATGCTGATGCTGATGCGGATGATGATGATGCTGCTGATGATGATGATGGTGATGATGATGATGATGATGGTGACGACGAGGCCACTTCAGATGACGATGATGTTGATGCTGATGACGAGGATGATGATGATGCTGATGACGATGATGATGATGATGATGATGATGATGACGATGATGATGATGATGGTGACGATGAATGTGATGATGGTGGTGCTGATGATGATGCTGATGATGGTGATGCTGCTGATTATGATGAGGACGGAGATAATGACGATCAAGCTTCAGATGACGATGCTGCTGCTCATGATGATGATGATGATGATGATGATGATGATGATGATGATGATGATGATGATGATGATGATGATGATGATGATGATACTGATGATGCTCATGATGATGCTGCTGATGATGATGAGGATGATGCTTACGATGTTGATGCTGCTGATGATGATGGGACGGACGAGGAGGAGGAGGAGGTGAGGGAGGTGGAGGTTGAGAGCATTCAGGGGTGTAGAGGAAGGGATGGAGAAGATCCAGGATGACGAGTAACATGGCGATGCTGCTGGTGCTGACGGTGATGATGCTGATGCTGATGCTGATGCCGATGATGATGATGCTGCTGATGATGTTGATGATTCCGATGCTGCTGCTGATGCGGGTGATGATGATGATGATGATGATGCTGCTGCTAACTCTGATGCTGATGATGATGCAGATGACGACGCCGACGATGATGCTGATGATGATGCTGCTGCTAATGATGATGTTGATGATGATGATGATGATGATGAGGATGATGATGATGATGATGATGATGATGATGATGATGATGATGCGGATGGTGATGATGCTGCTGATGATGATGATACTGATGACGACGATGATGCTTCTGAGGATGAGTATGCTGACAATGCTGATGACTATGATGGTGGTGGTGGTGGCGGCTACGACGATGATGCTGCTGATGCTGATGATGCTGATGCTGATGATTATGAGCAGGAGGATGGGCAGGAACAGGAATAGGAGGAGGATGCGGAGGAGGAAGAGGAGTCTTGAACGTATAAGCGGGGGCAGCCAGGAATGTGAGGAGGAGGGCGAGGAGGAGGCGGAGGAGGACGAGGAGGAGACGGATGAGGCTTATGATGATGACGGCGATGATGATGCCGATGACGATGGTGGTGACGACGATGAGTTTGATGAGCATAATGATCATGCCCATGATCATGTTGATACTGCTGATGGTGATGACGACGATTATGGTTATGATGATGATGAGGCAGAGAGGGAGACGGATGAGGCTCATGATAATGACGACGGCGCTGCTGCTGATGGTGATGGTGGTGACAGCGGTTGTGAGGATGGTGGTGATGAGCATGACGCTCATGGTGGTGATGATGATGATGATGATGATGATGACGACGACGATGATGATGATGATGATGATGATGATGATGATGATGATGACGGTGTCGATTACGATGATGACGATGATGCTGCTGATGATGATGATGATGATGATGATGATGCTGTTGATGATTGTGATGATGCTGCTGATGGTGATGCTGATGATGATGACGCTGATGCTGATGATGATGATGGTGGTGGTGGTGGTGGTGGGGATGATGATGATGCTGCTGATGAGGCTGAGGATGAGGAGGAGGAGGAGATGGAGGAAGAGGAGGAGGAGAACGAGGAGGAGGAGGAGGGAGGGGAGCAGCAGCAGCAACGACACAAGAACAATGTGATGATAATGCTGCTGATGATGATTATTTGGATGACGATGATGTTGCTGATGCTGCTGCAGATGATGATGCTGATGATGATGCTGCTGATGATGATGATGATGGTGATGGTGGTATGGTGATGGTGATGGTGATGGTGATGATGACGATGATGTGATGCTGATGATGCTGATGATGCTGCTGCTGATGGTGATGATGCTGATGCTGATGATGCTGATGGTGGTGGTGGTGATGGTGGTACGGTGATGGTGATTGTTTTGATGATGATTATGAAGATGACGGCGATGACGATGACGATGACGATGATGATGCTGATGATGAGTATGCTGATGCTGTCGATGACGATGCTGATGTTGATGATGATGATGTTGATGCTGATGCTGATGATTGTGATGTTGATCATGATCATGATGATGATGATGATGATGATGATGATGATGATGATGATGATGATGATGATGATGATGATGATGATGATGATGATGATGATGATGATGATGATGATGATGATGATGATGATGATGATGATGATGATGATGATGATGATGATGATGATGTCTCGCCGTCCGATCCCTGGCCCCTGCCCCTCTGGGCGTGCCGAGGTCACCTACACCGTCGTCCGCGATGTGGTCGAGGGCAGGCTCACGGAGGCGATGCCAGCCGAGCGCGAGGGAGGCGAAGGCCTGGCAACCGCAGTAGTGGTGGTGGTGGCGGTCGTGGTCGTGGTCGCGGTCGTGGTCGTCGCTGTCGTCGTCGTCGGTAAATAATAGCAGTAAACGTTGTCGTGGTCGTCGTGGTCGTCGCGGTCGTGGTGGTCGTGGTGGTCGTCGTCATGGCCGTGGTCGTGATTGTGGTCGTCGTCGTCGTCGTCATCGTTGTGGTTTTTATCGTGGTCGGGGTCGTGGTCGTCGTGGTGTCGTTATGGCTGAGGTTGTGTAAGTTGGAGTGGAGGAGGAGCAGCAGCGGCAGAGGCAGGAGATGGAGGAGGGGGATGACGAGGTGGAGGAGGGGGAGGACGACGCTGCGGAGCTAGAGGAGGTGGAATCGGAGTTGCATGATGATGTGGAGGAGGTGTAATCGGAGTTGGAGGGGGGGCGCCGCCGCAACCTCTTGGATGATCGAGCTTCTTGTGCGTTCGCACACCCCGTTCCTCCTTCTCCTCCTCTCACTCCTTCTTCCCTCCATCCCTCTTTCCTGTCGCACCACTAGATTTGTCCGTAGGCCGGGCCGGGCGTTTCGCTTGAGACCTGTCTTCAACCTATCAGTCCGAGACTTCAAAGTTCTAACGTTCTACAGATGGAGGGCCGGTCGTTTTCAAACTTTGGCTCTCACCTCAGCGCCGCGCAAACGTTCTCAAAGTTACACGGATGAGGGCCAGTTCGTTGTCAAGATGGGGTTCTCGTTTCTTAGCACAAGTGTAGCATTATCCGATGGTTACACGGACGGAGGGCGGGTCCTTTTTAAGCTGGTCCTCTCGCCTGAATTTTCGTTTGACTGGATGACGAGAAGTAACATGAACCCAGCGCAACCCCAATGAGGGGGAAGCGTCCTATCCCATTGGCGCATCGCCTTGCGTTGCTTGGCATTGCTTGATTGGAATGTCTTGGCATTTCTTGGCGGTACTTTGCACTGCTTGGCGTTGCTTAGCATTTTTTGGCACTGCTTGGCATTGATACGCGCTGCTTGGCACTGCATGGCATTGCTTTGCATGTATGGCATTTCTTCTCATTGCTTGGCGTTGCTTGGCGCTCCTTTGCAATGTTTGGGGAGCCCGAGGAACAAGACCGGGAGAACCCATGAACCCAAGCAAGGAACAAGACAGGGAACCGCGAGAACCTGACGAAGAAGACCAGGGGAACCAGAAGGAACCCAAGCAAGCAGCAAGACTCGGGAGCTTGAGGATCCGAAGCAAGAAACGAGTCTAGGGAACCCAGGGATCAAGACTGGGGAAAACCAGAGGAAGGAGCGCAGGGAGCAAGACCAGGGAGCCCACGGCCCTTGTAATGAAACAGAAATTTGGGCCCCCCCGGGGAAGTCCCTTGTACGGAACAATGATTCGGCACGAACGAAATTTGTACGGAAATTATGGGTACAATGCCCAACAGCAGTTCTGGTTCATTTTGAACAGGACTCGCCGTCCGCGCCGCCGCGGCCTGTGTCCATTTGAGACAGAAGACCGCCTGCCGAACAGCGGCCGCTGTTGGTTTGGGACAAGATTTGTTCTTGGGCATTGGGCCCATTTTTTCCGTACCCTTTTCGGGCGTCCAAAATGATCGGGGAACCCTTTGGAAGGCCGGCGACGACCAGGCTTGGCACCCAATGGTTCTTCGCAAGCAAGTGAGGCTCCTTTGGGCGAAGCCTAATTGGGGCAAGACGTGTCGAGGAGGAGGAGGAGGAGGAGAAGGAGGAGAAGGAGGAGGAGGAGGAGGAGGAGGAATAGGAGGTGGACGAGGAGGAGGAGGACGAGGAGGAGGAGAAGGAGGAGGACGAGGAGGAGGAGGAGGAAGAGAAGGAGGAGGAATTGAGAAAGGGAAGAAGGATGAGGAGGAGGGCAAAGAGGGGGAGGGGAGGAAGGACGAGGGGGATGCTGTCCGGGGTAATGCTCAAAGCAGCTGAAGACCCTCAGTTCGGAGAGTAATTTTGCAATGCACGGCGCAAGGCGCGAAGACCCGTAAGAGGCTTGCGCACGGGTTCGTGCCAGGGGTGTCTGGCAAAGTGCTTGCGACCCATCGGGCCCTCCGTGATTGAGTGGTGCGTGAGCCTGGGATATGAGCTTGGTGTTTTGGCGCTTCGGGAAGGAACGGAAATGAGGAGTGGGGTGACGAGGAAGGAGAGGATGAGGACGAGGAGAAGGACGAGGAGGAGGAGGAAGGCACGAGGGGCAGTCCTGAGATCCGACGGCCTGAACAAAACTGCAACATCGAGAAACATCACGACCCGAGCTCGGGGCCCAGCGTCCAGGAAGGAACGCTGGGCCCGGGGCGACGCCCGAGAGGCCCCCGCGCGCTGGTGCCCGTGGTGCCGGACGTGGACGGCTCCGCGCTCGCGGAGCCGGGAGCCAAGGTCGGAGACCTCGGTTGGAAGGCCATGCTACTCAGCCACGGGCAGAAGGGGGTCAGAGGGGAGGGGGTCGCAGGCCTAGAGGTTGACACCAACACCAAGATCGGCGGTGTGCCTCCACCGAGGGAAGACGATCCCGATCTCGGTGATGGTGGTAATATTCTGGCTTCCAAGGTGACCTAAATATTATCACCAACACCGAAACCTAGGATCATATTCCCCATGTGGAGGCAACCCCTGTGCTGGTGTTGGTGCCAATTTCCAGGCCTCCAAGGGGGGAGGGCTTCTCAGAAGCACCCCTGCTTCTTGGAAGGCGCGGGCCGCATCTATAGATGCAGGGCCGACGCCTGCTAAGGAGCCGCCTCCTTCCAAAAAGCCCTCCCTCCCTCCCTCCCTCCCTCCACCCCCGTGTGCGCGTCGCCACCAGGGTGCTCCAAAGCGGGGCCCGAGAGCAGCTGTCAGGGGCAACGATCGCGGGAGGATCGGTGAAGGCATCGGCCCCCAATCGCCTACTGATCGCCGATACGGGTCTGACAGATAGCCCCGCCCCGCCCAGGAGGGCGCGGATTCGCCATCGGGGGCCAGTTGCCGATCTATCGGCGATGTGTCGCCGATTCCAGGTCGATGTTTCGTCCCCTGAGCCAGTCCCCCCCCATCGTTGCCCCTCAAACTGGGGCCAGGGGGATCAAAACTCAGAGGATCGAGGAAATGTACCGCTACCGCTACCCTTGCCTCGTTTTCACCTTCATGGGCCTCCTGGGATGCCCTCGTCGCCACAGCGGGATTCGCCTCGAAGCCCTGGTCAGAACGCACCCCGCGAGAGGTCTGGGGAGTAGCGGAAGGCCAGGGCGCTCCAACATTGTAGATAGTGAGTCGTCGTGGATTGATGCTATATCGGCGGATAGCGCCGAATAGTGCCAGATAGCGTCCAGTAGCGCCGAATAGCGTTCAAAGAGGGCCCATTGGCGCCCAACAGCAGCCAATGACGCCCAATAGCGCCATGTGAGGGAGATGCATTGCGTCCGCTTTGGGCGCGATTGGGCGTGCCATTGGGAGCCATGGGGACGACCAACAGTTTCCGTGAGTTGTTTTCGAACAAATTCCGAAGAACGAATTCCTGGGACCGGAGAAGTCCGGTCGTCGCAGATCTGGGCCCTCAGGTCCCAGCTGCTCGGGCCCTATTTGAGGCGTTCCAAAAAGGGTCTTGCCTTCGAGGATCGAAGGAGTTGGCATCTCTTCCTCGGCGGAAGGCGGCGGAAGGCTGGCGAAAGGCGGTGGAAGTAAAACGAGGCCACTTCCGCCGGCAGAAGCCGGCGGAAGGCTGGCGGAAGTTGCCGGAAGAAAGCATCGGGCTGTCAAGAGATGGCTAGGATTTTTGGTTCAGGGTTTTTGGAACCCGCCACTTTTGGAGGAAGAAAGAACGGCATAAACCTAATTTTTGGAGGTCCGCACGGATTTCTTGGATCGGCCGCCCTTCCCTGGCGCGCGGGGCGAGCAGCTGGGGCGGTGCGACGATTGTTTTTTTCCGATCCCGTATCCTGTCTTTTACTTGGTCTTCGGGCCCTGGGATCCGTTTTCGAGCACTGGGGCTATCAAGAACGGATCTGGGGCGCCAGGCTCACCACCCACTGAATCACCCCAACCCAACCCGAAAGCCTCAATTTGCCATTCATTTCCAGTGGAGGAGGGGGTCAGGGAACATGGAAAAACACATGGAACCTTTACCGCCCCCAACCCGAAATTCGGGTCTTCGGGTTGGGTTGGGGTGGTCTGGTGGGTAGTCACAGACTACCTCCAGGGATCGGGGGAAGGAGAAGGGACACCACCACCACCACCGCCACCACCACCACCACCACCACCATCACCACCACCACCACCACCACCACCACCACCACCACCACCACCACCACCACCACCACCACCACCACCACCACCACCACCACCACCACCACCACCACCACCACCACCACCACCACCACCACCACCACCACCACCACCACCACCACCACCACCACCACCACCACCACCACCACCACCACCACCACCACCACCCACCACCACCACCACCACCACCACCACCACCACCACCACCACCACCACCACCACCACCACCACCACCACCACCAGGCGGGGCCACCTTTAGCGAGGAGGTACACGATGCCTCCCCGAGCTGGGAATAGGTCGAGGGAAGAGACACGGGGACCATGACCCACACACCTCGCGGGATCTTGTCGTTGCCGAGCTTGGCCATGGTCCATGTCGGCTGTCGCCGATTCGCGAGGATGATGCACGACATGACGCTGACCAAGATCGACGCTGACCAAGATCGGCACGGTGCTTCCGTTGTCAGCCTTGGTCATGGTCCCCGTCATCTTCCCTTCCAACAGGGGATGTCTCGAGCCAGAGGGGGGAAACCACATCACCGGGTGGACACCCCGCGGCTCTCTCCGCTCGTGGTCCCCTGGGAGTGGTCGTGCCGCTCTCCCTTGTTCTCACGGGGAAGGGGCCCGGACCTTCTTGAGGCCGCGGATTGAGACAACGTGTACGTATAGGCGGATGTCTGAGGATCGCGCCGCATCGCCGACGTGTCGGTGATGCGGCTCGATCTGGGGCACGATTTTCTGCGCCCCTTCGGGCGTTTCGTGATGGGGGTGCGATGCAGTCAAAATCCATAGTAAGGATGCAACGCAAGGATGCAGGACCCTTGGAAGTCTTGGAGCTCATTGGATGCAGCATGGGCTCAGGATGGGCCGAAGAAGCAGGCATTCAAGGGCAGCCTTGATGAAGCAGCGTGTCCTTGCTATGGATTTTGATTGTAAGTGTGGGGGGGAACGAGGGGGGTGCAGGAGAGGGGGCCTGAAGGGCCCCCCCGTGGGGCCCCGAAGGTGCTCGAGAGGTGCACCTTTCCACCCCCCCTTCATTGCCCCCCCCCTTCATTAAGCAGCGCCCGACCAATTCCGACGTCGCCGATGCATCGCCGATGCATCGCCGATGCGTCGGCGATGTTCGCGTGATCTTCCGACCCCATCCGCTCGGGCGGCAATCCGGGCGGCCTCCGAAGGCTAGGGCGCTCCTGTGCGTCCAGATCCTGACCGACCACGTCAACTACGCGGAAATCACGATGTTCGGGTTCGAGGGCCGACGCAATTTGTGCTGGGTGTGTTTTTGCATGTCTGTCTGTCTGTCTGTCTGTCTGCCTGCCTGCCTGCCTGCCTGCCTGCCTGCCTGCCTGCCTGCCTGCCTGCCTGCCTGTCTGTCTGTCTGTCTGTCTGTCTGTCTGTCTGTCTGTCTGTCTGTCTGTCTGTGGGTCGGTAGGTAGGTAGGTAGGTAGGTCGGTAGGTAGGTAGACAGGTCGGTAGGTATGGATGTATGTATGGATGCACATATTCTCTGCCCGTCGCCGTGCTAGTCCTCTGTTGTGAGGGGGCCCGTCCTGTAGGTCTTTTGGGGCCACTGTGAGGCCGTTTCGGGGGCTTGTTGGGTCGTCATGGGGCCCTCTGAAGCCGTCTCGGGCCCTCTGGGCCGTCTTGGGGGTCCCTTGGGGCGGTCTGGAGGTCCTATTGGGCCGTGTTGGGGCTGTCGTCGGCTGTTTGAGTCCCTCCTGGGTCCTCTTGGGTCTTGGGTCCCTCTTGGGTTATCTTGGGCCCCTTTTGAGTCGTCTTACGGCACTCCTGAGCCATTCTTATGGCCTTCCGGGGCGCCCTGTGGGCCACATTGGGACGAGCTTGGGGGCCTCTCAGGCCGTCGTGGATGCTCTGACGACGGAGAAGGCGAGCGTTCCGAAATCGTATAACAGTTTCTACGACATCTATGACTTGTTTCTCTTCGTGACCTCTGGGGGTTCTCTTCGGGCCCTTTGGTAGTGTCTTGCGGCCATCTTGGGCTAGGTGTTGGCCCGTCTTGGTCGTCTCGGGGGCCACTTCGGCGCCTCTTGGGGCCTTCTTGGGCCATCCTGGGCCGTCTTGGGCCGTCCTTGGGCGCCGGCAACTCAGCCTTCCTTGTCGGGCCTTGGGTCTAGGCAGGTCAGTTCTTCATGAGGAGGGCAGGTGGTCGTGTCTGGTGTCCTTCGGCCCATCCAGCCACTGCGCCTAGGTTGTGGGTCAGAGGCCTCTTGGATGCCTGTGGAGATCTCTTGGAAGGCTTCTCAGAAGCCTCTTGGAGGCGGGTTCGAGGGTGTCTTGGGGCCTTTCGGGGACTCCTTGGGGCCTGATTTGGGTCTCTTGGGGGCCTCCTGGGGCTTTTGGGGGCCTCTCGGGGCTGTCTTGGCGGCCTCTTGGGGCGGAGGGCTCGACATGTCTGTTGGCGTTCCCCTTTGTTGGACCCATCTTGGGGCCTTCTTGTATCCCTCTTGGGGGCCTCTTGAGGTTTCCTGGGGCCTTCTAGAGGGCCTCCTAGGGGGCTCTTGGAGCCCTCTGGGGAGGCTCCTGGGCCGTCTTGGGGCGATCTTGGGCGCTTCTTGGCCGTCAAGGGGCGGTGGGAACATGAAAACGCGAGAACGCTACCATTCTCTAACAACCTAAGGGAAATCAATGATTTCTGCCTCTTGGGGCCCTCTTGGGAGGTCTTGTGGAGCCCTTTCGGGGCGTCTTGGGGGTCACGCGGTGGGCCGTCTTGGTCATATCGTAGCGCTCTCGGGCCGTCTCGGGACCCTCTTGAACCGTCTCGAGGGCGTCTTGGAGCCCTGGCCTGTTTTGGGGTCCTCTTGCCGCCGGAAAAGTTTAGCGACACCGTGCGACAACACGCGCCACGCCCCGCAGAATCCGGCAACTTGGCGTTGGGGCCCCAAGTCCGAGATTCTGAGGACTGAGGACGGAGGGCGCAGAGGACCCGAAGACACTCCAACTCGCACAGCCAGACCTTCGGTTTCTGCTCGCGAGCTCCTGTCTTGCTGGATCCTCGTTCTGAGCTCACAGCTCCGCGCGCCTTCCCTTCTCCTCTCCTCCCCGCTCCCTCCTCGCCCTCGCCGCCGCCTCCCCGCCCTCTCCCCGCCTCTGCTCGCCGCCCCCCGGCGGCGCCCCCCCCGCGAGGGCCGCTGCTCCACGGGGGAGCTCCGCCCGTGGCCCCGACGGGTGCGCTCGCAGGGCGTCCCCGAACGCCCGCCTCGGCGCGCACGCCCCACGGGGATGGCGCCCCGCGTGGTGGGGGCGCGCAGCCAGGGACACCGCGCGCCTCTCGCCGGGGTGCCCCGGGCTTCGGCGCGCCGCGCGCCGCGCGGTGGCTTCCCGCGCGCCCCTCGCAGGAGCTGCGGCGTTCGGGGTGCTCCGGGCTCCCCCTCCGGCGCGCCTCGCGCGGGTGCCACAGTGGGGGAGCTCCACCTGCGGCCCCAGGGGGTGCGTCCGCATGGCGCCCCCCCATGCCTGAGGTCCGCGGCGGTCCCCGGAGGCCTCCTGAAGCTCACCGGACAATGGCCAGCCACGCTCACGAGAGGGCGCACGGCGCGGCCCAGCTGACTCTTGAAGATGCCGACGCCATTCCGCCGACCCACACAAGAGGTGCAGAGTCTACGGTTGAGGCGTCGTGAGCTCTTGGGCACTGTTTGGGAACTCTCGTGGGCGTCTTGGCAGCTGCTCGTGGGCATGGCGTAGCCTCGCGGAGGCAGCTCTGCAGCGTCTTGGGGGCCGCTTCGAGGTGTCTCGTGGGCCTCGTGATGCGACGTCCTGTTGGGAGCGGGGTTTGGCCTCCTTGCGAGATCCTCGGCGCACCGAGGCCCTGTGCGCGAGGAGCGGGATGCGCGGACGGCGGGGCGACGTTGCCGTGGTCGGCGCCGGTGCGCGCGGCGCCGGCGTCTTCGAGGCTTTTTTTTTGGCGGCTTTGGAGAGGATCTCGTCGTCACGGCTGGTCGCGGCTCGGACGACCAAGAGGTCCGAGGCCGAGAACGAATTGGAGCGGCCGGTGTACTGCGAGAAGAGCTGGCCCTACAGGGAAGTTGTCCAGACCTTCGAGGGATCCACCACCACCAACCAACTGAGCCGAGCGTCCGGAGGGACGCGTGGGCAGAAGAGTGCGCGATTGGCAACTCTTCAGAAAAGTATGACTGAAAAGACATTACAGAGCGGCTCCGTGCACGCACAGACTCGACTGTGAAGCAGAAGCGGAATGCCTCATGACTGCGACGCGGAACAACCGAGCGCATCACGATTGTGACGCAGAAAAACAAAGCGCATCACGACAATGGAATACAGAGCGGAGGGAGAGGAGGAAACGGGGAGGCGGAGGGGAAAGAGCACCGTTGCTATACATGCTGAGACAACTTGTATACCTGACTCGCCCACTGCTGGCGGGGGCGGCCCCTCTTTCGGCGCCCAGCCCATCTCTCGGGGGGTTCCATCGTCATTACAAACAGCGGCTTTGACAAGCGCCGGGCATCCCGAATTCATAATTTTATTGTACAAAGCAACTTGCCTGGCCAGCAAAATATTCGACAGAGGTTGAGCGGATGCTTTTTGAAGCACAACTGCAGTGTTAACCCGTGAAAAGAAGGACGGACGAATTCCCAGCAAACGTCGTAAGCATTTGCAGTGGAAGGCGTCTAAACGCGCACGGTCTGGCCTGCCTTCAGAAGCCAAAAGGAATCTAAAGAGTACAGAAGTTTGTTCAGGACACAACTTTCATACATATTGATTTTTCGTTTCTTTCCAATTGAAGTCTGGCTCCATATCCGATGCAACTGCTTGAAGATACGGTTCACTTCCCCAAGTCGCCTGCCTAGTCAAGTTACCACTTTCCCATCGCACGAAATAAGACCGCCCAAATACATAGCGTCCCTCACTGCCTTTATGTGCTCACCACTTCGTGATGTTATTGCCCGGTCTGTGGAAAATTTCGAGGGATCCACGCATCGAAAATTTCGGAGCGCCGGATGATCGGGGGCTAGCCAGCATGGGCCCTGGCAGAGATCCTGGGACCGGCCTTGAGCGGAAATTGGCCCGGGGCAGGGCGAGGGGAACTGCGGTCAACCATCTGATTAAGACATCTCCTCCCGGAAAGCTGGTCCAGCGTTTCTCAACCAATTTGCCGGAAAGCTGGCCCAGTTCCCTCAGCACGTTCGCCCCTCCAGCGCTCACGGCAGAAATGGGCCCAGGCTTGTTCTAAGACATTTTTTGAAGGTGGCCCAGATTTCTTAAGTGATAGTTTTCTTGATCATACATTCGGCTGTAGTGGCGGTCGTGCTGATGCCCCCTTTTTTCCCAACCATCCTGTGGTGTTGGGTCCTCGTTTTGAAGAGACAGCGCCCCGCGTCCCACCTCCTCTCCTCCTCCTCCCCCTCCTCGCCCTCCTCCCTCCTCCCCCTCCTTGCCTCTGCTCTCGGCACACCCCTCACACGTTTCGTAGCCCCATAGGGAGCTCCACCGAAGGTCCCAGTGGCACAGCCCGCATGCGGTTCCCCCACCCAGGGCAGCGTTTCGTAGCCCCATAGGGAGCTCCACCGAAGGTCCCAGTGGCACAGCCCGCATGCGGTTCCCCCACCCAGGGCAGCGTTTCGTAGCCCCATAGGGAGCTCCACCGAAGTTCCCAGTGGCACAGCCCGCATGCGGTTCCCCCACCCAGGGCAGCGTTTCGTGGCCCCATAGGGAGCTCCACCGAAGGTCCCAGTGGCACAGCCCGCATGCGGTTCCCCCACCCAGGGCAGCGGTTCGTGGCCCCATAGGGAGCTCCACCGAAGTTCCCAGTGGCACAGCCCGCATGCGGTTCCCCCACCCAGGGCAGCGTTTCGTGGCCCCATAGGGAGCTCCACCGAAGGTCCCAGTGGCACAGCCCGCATGCGGTTCCCCCACCCAGGGCAGCGTTTCGTAGCCCCATAGGGAGCTCCACCGAAGGTCCAGTGGCACAGCCCGCATGCGGTTCCCCCTGGCCCCATAGGGAGCTCCACCGAAGGTCCCAGTGGCACAGCCCGCATGCGGTTCCCCCACCCAGGGCAGCGTCTCGTAGCCCCATAGGGAGCTCCACCGAAGGTCCCAGTGGCACAGCCCGCATGCGGTTCCCTCACCCAGGGCTGCGTTTCGTGGCCCCATAGGGAGCTCCACCGAAGGCCCCAGTGGCGCAGTTCGCATGCGTTCCCCCCCACCCAGGGCAGCGGTTCGTGGCCCCATAGGGAGCTCCACCGAAGGTCCCAGTGGCGCAGTTCGCATGCGTCCCCCCCACCCAGTACAGCGTTTCGTGGCCCCATACGGGGCTCCCCCGAATGCGATACCCACAACTGCATATGGTTGGGTCCTTCGCCAGGCTAATTTGGGGAGGAGGATGGGCGAAAGAGGGAACGAGGGTGTGGGAGGGAGGGGGCGGTTCGAGGGGGAGCGGGGCAGCGGAGGTCAGGTACTCCAGCCGCCTTCGGGTACCGATGAAATCGTTCCAGGGCCGTCTGAGACTCGGCCCCGCGCAGAGGTGGGTAGGGCCAGGGAGGAAGGCTTCTTAGAAACACCCCTGTTTCTTAGAAGGCGCGGGCCTTGTCTATAGGTGTAAGACCAGCGCCTTCTGAGAAGCAGCCTCCTTCTAAGAAGCCTTCCCCCCTCCTCCTACCCTCTCCCGTGCGCGCCGCCAAGAGACCGCTCTCGATTACGCGGGAACGGCCACGGCACCCCATGCGTTCTTTGGGTTCGCTGTGTCTGCGGGATCCATGAGTTATTAGCAGCGTTGCGTGGTACCACGGCCAGACGGGGGCGGGGTCGCTGTCGGACATTGTTGTGTCAGAGAGCGTTTTCAGGCAAACACAGCAAGGACTACATTTTGTTGATGCTGGCCCTCTCCGCGCTAGTTGGACGCATGCTTGTGCCATTTTCATATTGCGGCTTAATTGGAATAGTTATGAGGCCCTGCGCAAGTGCTGCGCAAATGCGCGTGAAAGGCGAAAAGGGAGAAGTTGCCGAAAGGCGCCCTGAGATGCCAGGCGCCCAAGGCCTCTTCACGCTCTGTGTCAGTGAAAGTGTTGTCAGTAGACGACGTCGGAGACGAGTGATTGACTGGACTGAAGTGATATGCCTTGTCCACAGCCGAATCCTTCTCTTCCTGCCTCCTCGCTCCTCCTCGCTCCTCCCCCTCCTCCTCCTCCTTCCTTCTCCTTTCCGTCTCCCCCCCCTCCGTCTGGAAGGCTTACCTGGAACTTTTTGGAGGCTGGTTGGGGGCCTCCAGGGGTTGTTTTCGGAGACCTTTTTCGGTTGGCGCCTTGTCGCAGGCCTAGAGGTTGACACCAACACCAATTTCGGCGGTGTGCCTCCACCGAGGGAAGAAGATCCCGATCTCGGTGATGGTGGTAATATTCTGGCTTCCAAGGTGGCCGTAATATCACCACCAACACCGAAATCGAGGATCATCTTCCCCCTTTGAAGGCCACCCCCTGTGTTGGTGTTGGTGCCCATGTCCAGGCCTCCAACCTTGGGGCCTCCTGCCGACGCCCTGGGGGCCTCCGGGCAGCCAGGCCCCCAGGGTAGCCCGGCCTCGATGCCCGAGCCCTGGGGCGAGGAACACCCCGGGGGGCCGCCGCTGGAACCGTCGCAGGGGTGTTGGGACCGCCGCGGACGGCACCGGTGGCTGTCGGTGCTCGGTATCGTTTAGCCAATCCCCATCCCCGTCCCCATCCCCGTCGAGACCCCCACCAAATTACCACCCGAGTTGGGGATACACCCCTCGAAACCCGAAGGGAACGGGCCTATATCCCCATCTAGGGGGGTAAATCGGCCAGTGGGGCCCAGGCCACGCCGCTGGGGATGGGGATCGGTGAAACGATACTCAGGCAGGTGCTAGTAGCTCCTCAGGTGAGGAAGAGGCACCCATACCGCTGCCCTTCCATCGTTTTCCCCTTCTTGGGCTTCCTGAGAGGCCTGCGTCGCCACCGCTGAATTCGCTTTGAGATTCTGGTCGAGATTCTGGTCAGGACGCGCCCCGGGAGAGGTCTGGGGAGCAGCGGTATCGGTACCTTTGGGTTTCCCCAGCTCCAGGCCAAGCCGCCCTGCCCTCGTCTCAGGTACGGCTTCATCCCCGCGATCCTCGCGGCCTGGTCGCTCATGCGCCGCGGGACAGAATTCGAGTACATTGTTGCAGCCAAGCCCACTTGCTGAGTGCCTCCAGCCGCTGCGCACCGAGGGGGTGCTGGCGCCTGGAGACGGCCCTGGCGCGACACAGGAAGAGGAGGACGAGGAGGAGAAGGAGAACGAGGAGGAAGAGAAGGAGGAGGAGGAGGAGGAGGAGTAGGAGGAAGAGAAGGAGGAGGAGGAGGAGGAGGAGGAGGAGGAGGAGGAGGAGGAGGAGGAGGAGGAGGAGGAGGAGGAGGTGGATGAAGAAGACGAATATTAATAATGGTAATGGTAATAATAAGAGGAGGAGGAGGAGGAGGAGGAGGACAAGGACCAGGAGAAGGATGATGATAATGAGGATGAGGATGAGGAGGCGGAGGAGGAGGAGGAGGAGGAATTCTAGGAATTCTAATAATCAGGCGAGTAACAATGATGCAAACCAGAAAAGGAGGAGGAGGATGAGGAGGAGCAGGAGAATAACCAGAAACAAGATGATGAGGATGAGGATGAGGAGGAGGGGGAGGAGGAATTGAAGGAGGAGGAGGAGGAGGAGGAGGGGGAGGAGGAGGAGGAGGATGAGGAGCACGAGGAGGACGATGAGGAGGCAGCGAGCGATGAAGAGCGAGTCCGAGCGTGCGGACCCGCTTCAGCGGGATGGAAGTAGGAAGCAACACGGCGAGGCCTCGAGCCATCGCACCGTGCCGCTAGTCCTCGACAGCGCCGTCCCCGCCGCGTCGGAAGGCCGACGGAGGAGACCTGGCGTCGAGGGCATCATGGGCAAGGGTCCCCCGATCGGGGGTGCAGCCCGCGCAACGCACGGGAGATCTGCATCTCCTCGTTCGCACGCGTGGAAGCTACGTCCGAGTGCCCCTTGCACTGGGCACGCAGCTTGCGGTTGCGGCCTCCAGCCACACTGAAAGCCCCACAGCAGAGGCAGATGACCGTGGAGCCGAATCGCTCCACACCGTGGCCAAGTTCCGAGTACAATTCCACCTCCCGATCGACCCCGACGGCGACGACGCTAGCCCCCACTCCCCCTCCCGCAGGCGGGCCTCCAGGGGGCCCTGGGCCTTCATCAAGGCCTGCAGCGCGCACGGCGGCGTCCACCGCAAGCGAGGCGTGCCCATAGCGCTCGGGGGTGAGGGCGAAATAACGCGTCGCCATCGCTCGCATGAGATCCGTGGGCTCGCATCGCCTCGCTCGAAGGGCCTTCAAGGAGTCGGGAGTCCTCGCGAACCTGTTACAATTCAGGCACCTGTATTCTGACAGGCTCTCGCAAAATCGAAGCTCATGCGAGTTCAGCACAACCAGGGGGGTGGTGACGACTCGACTGACCTGAGACGGCTCAACTTCCCTGGGCTGGAGCTCCACATTCTTTATGGCGGCTGCTTGGGCCATCCATGCAAACACCTGGGAATGGTCCTTGGCCGCCTTCATGGCTTGCTTATAATAGTCCTGCATGGTCTGGCCTGTAGAGTGCATCAGAGCCCCACGCTTGGCGAAAAAGTCTGCCCACTCGTTTGCAACGAAACGGACAACATCGCAATCAGGGGCCTCCAAGACCGCCGAGAGATCTCTGTGGGCTGGGACCCACTCGAAGGTAGGAGGAGCCTCCGAACAGATCCGACGATTTTTTCCCACACCGCAGCGTGACGGCCTCTAGACGAGGCAGCTGACTCCGACCAAGCACACCCCTCTCGCACCAGATTCAGGTGATCTGAAACGACAATCGCTGGCTGCTGCGCAACTTCTACTGCTTTGAGCGCTGCGAAGTGCTCCGCTCGCGGCACCGTCTGTGCCGCTCCTGGGAGCGCGCCAAAAATTGCACGCAAAACATTGCCCGCGTCGTCGACTTCCACCACTGACCAGCCGCAGCGGGCCAGCTCTGGGATCGACGACGCTTGGCCGCTTCCGTCCGTGAACACCCTCCGCCCCCATCGCCCACGCCAGCCCCCCCATCCCATCAGAGGGTACACGTCGCTCGGGGGCGACAGCGCTGGCGGCGCAGGCGGCAAACCGAAGCTGATATAAAATTGGTCCGCTCCAGACTGCGAATTATGCTTGGCCTTGATGGCCGTCCTAAGCTCGAGGACACTATCAGGAACTGGCACGTCCAATCCTTCTATCATGGCTTCGCACTCGAACCATTGATGGGACTCGTTGCCATTCGCCTGCTTGCGCACGAAACACCGCGGGGAACTGCGAAGACCTATGCTGTGCAACCGCTCGGGAGTCCAAACTCCTGACGACCAGAGCGTTCGCAAGGCGCCTCGCCTCGCAACGTCTTTTACTGCAAGAACTGCTTTCCGCATTCCCCTCCTCCAGCAGCTCTCCCCAAGGCTGTTGGGAAGGTGCTGAAGGATCCTATCTACCTGCCAGCGGCGAAGGCCTTCCTCCAAGAAGGCTTTCACATCACCTGGGCAATTCCTAACTAAATCGACGTGGCTACCTCGATCGTCCACAAGCACTGTTGGAGAACTCATCGTCCAACCCACTCGCAGAAGCGTGACCCAGACCGAGGCGATGGGGCCACGAGCTCTGGTCCACGAGGTGCGATGGTCGAGCTTGGCCTTGACCGCATCCCATGCTCTACGGAGCCGTCCAGGCGCGACCCTATTGTCCCAGATGAACGAAGCAAACCTAACCACAAGAGGAACCGTCGCATCGAAAATAGGGTCGAACCTGTCGTCTCGCTGCGTTGCTAAAAACAGGGTGAGCGACGCCTTGGGCTTGGCCCCGCACATGCCTCCAGCGAACGTTCGAAGCTCTCGAATCGCCGTGTCGGATATCCCAGACACTCCAGCGCCATGGCCGCCAGCTGGGAGGAGCCCCGTTCGCCACAAAGATTTCACAGCCTCCCCCGCGGCGTGCTTCAATCCCCACACTTTGCGCCTACGAGCCGTGAGATTCTTAAGACGCGTCTTTTCTTGCACGCGCAATACCCTAGTGCCGTGCATCTCGTGCCCTAAATTGCGCATCGCTCGCTTCGCTCTCATGCGAAGAGGCTTGACTAATCGAGCGAATCTATCTCGACTCGAGTCGTGTTCGCAACGAACCCTGACTTGCTCGGCTGGACTACTAGCCCTAGCGGCCTCACGCTAAGGCAAAAGCTATGAACTGCATTGGCCAAGTCTCTGGCCTGACCGTCGTGCTCTCCCACCCTGGCCCGTTCACCAGTCCAGTGGAAGCTCGCGTCATCGATCAGAGCTCGTGGCTTGGCCGTGGGGTATATAATCATGCTATCTTGCAGGCTTCTATGCAATAGGACCCGTAGCATTGTAGTGGCCAAAGAACAGCCTGCTAGGATTCCCTGATTGGACTGCACTGGCACAGACAGCGAAGCAAAGGCACGCACGCAGCGAGGTTGCAAGTAGGTCTGAATCGTCCTCCATGCTAATCTCATCGGGAACTGATTCAGCCTAGCCTCGTGTAGCAGGCTCTGCAAGATGACAGTCCCATCGCATTTCAGCATATCGATAAAGACTGTGAGGCTGTCCCCTCCTATCTCGTGCGCTATCTCAGCATCAAGATTCAAAGAAAACGCGCTGTCCGAGCTCGACCTACCAGCTCCCGTCCCCCAGAAACATTCGAGGTCATGCTCGACCTCCCAGACGGCCGCTATGGGCCTGCGGGCTCTACCCCAGACTCTCAGAAGCGTGTTCAAGAGCGCTATCAATCTGCGTCCCCCTGACGCCTTGGGGAGGCGAACTAGCTGCGTCAGCAGTCTACAAGATGGCCAGACCAAGAGACTTTCACACTTCATGAATAGCTTGGCAACGGCCGCCAGGCCTGAATTGCTCAGGAAAATAAGACTGCGGGGCTGAACTGGCCGTCTCCCGTCGCCCATGGAAACTGAAGAATGGCGCGCTGCACGTCTAGCACAGTCAAAGGTGGGAGCTCTTCCCAGTCCTGCGCATCTGCTGGCAACTGTGGGGCGGCAACGTCATGCATCGTCCAGATATTCCCCCATTCCCGCATGGCTTTATCGGCTAACTGATGCGGCTGGGCAGGCGTGCGAGCAGTCACATTTGCATTAACCACCTCCTGCAACGCCCTCCTCCTCGTGTGCCTATGCGCGAAACGCGCACCATTAATGAAGCTAGCTGCCGCCCAGTCCCTCCAGGCTTTGGCGGCCTTCTGGCTGTGTGCCTCAGCAAGCTCCGCTGCTTTGGCTTCGATTGCATCTAGCGCTGCATCGACTTCTGGATAGACAAGGAACTCCATTCCTGAGAGAAAAACGTCAGACGCCCAGCTGTCGAGCTCGCTAAGCACGGCCGTCTCGGACAACACCTTCGCCACGAAACGACCAAGCTCAATCATCAAGTTCGACAGCTTGTGATGAAGGGCTGTGTCCAACGTACCTGTCTCTTGCTGATGACTCACCAACGCCGTGACATTGGTGGTCGCCTCCTTCGCCCTACGCATATGTCGTGCCCACCTGGCCGCGACGCTCCACGCATTGGCTGCTTTCGACAAGTGCGAACGTTTCTGTTGTGGTTGCCACTGCAGTTTGACCTTCGCGAACTCGACGGGGCCACATGCTCCGACGAACGGCTCGACCTTGGTACCAACGATGTCATGCCTGGCAAGCAGCTCCAGTTCGATTTGGCTCAACACTGCATCCCATGCCACTTGCAAACTGCTATCGTCGCACGCGGCATCTATCAGTCGTGCCACTCCATGCCAACATAATGGGAACCTCGAACATCCTGGTTTCGGCTGCTTGGGCACAGAACGCGGCCCACGAAGTTCACGATGATACAACTGGATGTCCTTACCGCTGATAGGCATGTACACATGCAAGTGTGGCAAAGTGGTAGTCGCTCCCTGTACGCACGGCTGCCCAACACGTGCCACCAAGTTAGACGATGTGAGGAAATAGTCGATGCAACTACCAGGCATAGCTTGTCGACATGTGGTCGCAACTGGAGCCCGAAGCATACCGCCTAGCCCGTGAAGCCACCGCATATCACCAAACTGCGACGCTTCAATATTGAAATCTCCTGCCACAATCCAATCGTATCCAGCATGATTCAATTTTTCCA